ATATGGAATTTAGTGTTTCTGTTTTAATATTTAGATCTTTGATCTATTTTGCTTTGAATTTAGTGCATGATGAAAGATATGGGTCTAGTTTTAATCTTCAACATATGGAAAGCCTGTTTTTTAAGCACTATTAAAGAGGCTTTCTTCCAGTGAAGCTGTTTGGCTTCTTTGTCAAAGATAAAGTGGCTGATAGTCTCTTCCATGTAAAGGTCTTTTACTTTCTTCATTAGATTGATTCCTAGGTATTTATTTTTTGGGGATGCTATTGTGAAAGGTGTTATTTCCCTAATTTCTCTCAGTGACTTTGTTATTCCTGTGCAGGAAAGCTCTTGATTTTTGAGTGTTGACTTTGTATCCCTCTACGCTACTGAATTTGGTTATTAAATCTAGAAGTAATTTGGTGGAGTTTTTGGGGTGTTCTATGTAGAATATCATGTCATATGCAAATAATAATAGTTTAACTTCTTCCTTTCCTATCTTTATTCCTTTTATTTCTTTCTCTTATCTAATTGCTCTGGCTAATGTTTCCAGAACCATGCTGAATAGGAGTGGTGATAGTGGACATCCTTATCTTGTTCTGATTTTAGAGTGAAAGCTTTCCGATTTTGACATATTAGTATTATGTTGGCTCTTGGTTTGTCGTAGATGGCTTTTCTATAGGGTTTTTATCATGAGTGGGCATTGGACTTTGTCACATGCTTTTTCTGCATCTGATGAGATGATCATGTGATATTTGTCTTTGGCTCTGTTAATATGTTATATTACATTTTTGAGTTGCCTATTTTGAACCATCCCTGCATTCCTGGGTGCATCCCTGGGATGAATCCTACTTGGTCATGATGTATAATCTATTTGATGATTTGCTGCATTCTGTTTGCCATTGTCTTATTGAGGATTTTTTAATCTGTGTTCATTAGGGAGACTGGCCTGTAGTTTTCTTTTTTTGGTTAGATCCTTCTCTGGTTTTGGTATCAAGGTAATACTTGCTTCCATGAATGATTTTTGGAGTATTGCTTCCCTTTCTATTTCATTAAAGAGTGGAAAAAAGCCGGCATTAGATCTTCTCTAATTTTCTTGTGGAATCAGCAGTGAAACCATCAGTACCTAAGCTTTTCTTTGTTGGTAAACATTTTATTATGTTTTCAATTTCTTTGATACTGGGTTATTTAGAATTGTACTATCTACTTGGATTCAGCTTTGGTAATTCATATGTATCTAGCAATATGTCCATTTCTTCTGTATTTTCCATCTTATTAGAATACAAATTCTCAAAGTAGGTATTGATGATCTTCAGGATCTCTGCAGGATCTGTTGTGATTTCACCCTTTTCATTCCTAATTGCGTGGATTTAAGTCTTTCCTTTTTTGGGTAAGGTTGGCTAAGGGTTTATCAATTTTTTTAATCTTTCAAAGTGCTGACTCTTTGATTCATTGATTCTTTGTATTTTCTTATTCTCCATTGTATTAATTTTTGCTCTGATCTTTATAATTTCCTCCCTCATACAAGCTTTGAGCTTGACTTGCTGTTCTTTTTCTGGAAGCTTGAGGTTCAACATTAGGTTGCTTATTTGAACCCATTTTGTTTGCGTGATAGGAAAATTCACTGCTATCAGTTTCCCTCATAGCACTATTTTTGTTGTGTCCCATAAGTTCTAGTATGTTGTATAGGCGTTATTTAATTGTAGAAACTCTGATTTCTTCTTTAATTTCATCTGTGACCCGTTGGTTGTTTAGGAGAGTGTTATTTAATTTTCATGTATTTATGAAGTTCTTGTGTTTTGATTTCCAATTTCATTGCACTATAGTCTTATAATATGTATGGGATAATTTCAATTCCTTTACATTTACTTAAGCATGTTCTGTGAGCTAGTATATGGTCTGTTTTGGAAAACTTCCCATGTTCAGCTAAGAATAATGTGTATTCTGATGTGGAGTGGAACTCACTAGATAGCCCAGGTTGATATGAAACTCACAGTGACCCTGCTGCCTCCCAAGTTCTGGCATTACAGGTGTGCACCATCATGCCCAGCTAATATATGCATTTTTTAATACATATATTATGAGTTTATTGGTACAGCCTAGGTATACAATACGGTTACATTCATTCCTGGGATCCTGTACCTTCACATGACAGGTCTTGGTTCTCATTTTTTTCCCCTTAATATATGTATTTTTGAAGGCAAGTTTTTTAGGTAGTGTTCAGATACTTAGACATGAATAAAAACTTTCTAGAAAGAATTCTGATAGTGACTGCCTCTCAAGAATGGTGCTAGCCTGGCATGGTGGCGCACGCCTATAATCCCAGCACTTGGGAGGCTGAGGCAGGAGGATCCCTGTGAGTTTGAGACCAGCCTGAGCTACATAATGAGCTCCAGGTCAGTCTCAACTACATAGTGAGACCCTGTCTCAAAAAAGAGAGTGGTGCTAATGACTAAGGTATATAGGGGCTAATTTTCATTTTAATTCTTTAGTTCTCCTTAATTGTTTATTCTGAACAGTTGGTACTTTTATTAAAGAAAAAAAATTTAAGGGCCTGCAATTTAGCTCAGTGGTTCCACCACTGGGTATGTGCTTCCTGATACTTTGATCAGAAAGCATTTGTAACACATACCCGTAATGAATTCTGAGTACCTCTGAATGTTTTCTTGACCTGTGTCAAGGGGGTGATGCCAGGAGTAACCTTAACTACCTAAGTTACTCCATGCTTGCCAGTCTGAATGTTTGACCAGTTGTTTTTTCTTTTTTAAAAAGCAAAAGAAGCAGGTATTATCTGCTTGTAGACATCATCTACACATTTCCAAGTCAGTTAAATTCAGTACCGGCAGCAAAACTAGCATAGGAGAAGGAGTATTACCAGCGGACCCTCCGTTCCATTAGAAGAGATTTCAAGGATCTGAAATAAAATTACTTATTGTTAAAGAGGAAGCTGAAATGTGGTGTCACATACCTGTAATACCGGCACACTGGTAGGGTAAGGCAGGAAGATCACAAAAATGAGCCCAGCCTGAGGAACTCGGTGCCTTAGGGAGGCGCTGTCTCAAAATAAGAAATAAAGTGGGTGGGGGGGCTGAAAATTTAGCTCAGTGCAGAGGCCCTGGGTCCAAGCCCCAGTACTGCCCAGGGAAGGGGGGAAAGGGGCTTGCTAAATAGGATTTATGTACAGTTTGTTCAGTGGTTAGAAATGGAAATAACAAAAACTATTTCAAAGTTCAAGAAGACAGTGTTACAGTCCTTTTATGAGGGTAAGAAGCCCAGAGTTTACCATCCTGGTCCTGTTGCTGAGATCTCAGGTGGGTTCTCCACTTTCCTGAGCATATCCTCTCATCAGTAAATTGGAGGTGAAGTGGAGGTAATGCACTGAAAGTTCACGGCACATAGTAAACACTCAGTGAATATTACTAATGCTTTTTTAGGCGATAATGACTGGCTAGTATGTTACACTGGGAAATCTAAAGAAGCTAGTGGTATCTGATAATTAAATTTGGAATGTAAAAGATGATTTGATTTAATTTTGTGTTTTGTTATTGTTTAAAAAATAAAACTGTAGAGTAAGACTTATATATGACTATCTAGTAAGACAACGTTTGTTGAATCTGCGGAACCAAAAACCAAAGATGGACAATAGTTTTTTTGTTGTTGTTTTTTGTTTTTTAATTAATAAGTTTTATCCCATTCCCCCCTTAGCACCTCCCCTCGCTATGTACAAAAACTTTGTTTCTATTTTTCTTCTATTTTCACTTTTTTTTCTAAAAATAGATAATTGTTTACAGAGTACTTGACAATAAAAAGAACTACTGGAGCTTATAACCATTATAGAGAGAGCCTCATTGAACAGCTAGCCAACCATTTCAATATTATCACCATCCCACCTCCTCCAAAAGCTGTTCCTAACCATTCCAGTACATGGTGATCTCTCCCACGAACCTACCTGTAAAGCTTAATGACCACGTGCTGCCTCAAAAAAGTTCACTAAGGCAGTTCTTTAATTCTCTAGGTCTCTCCAGTCTGCAGGATGGCATGCAGGCCTCTCTGCAGCAGGCTAATCTGGGCCCACAGGAAGAACCTAAAGTTTAAGCGACTTCTAGAGAGCCTTCCTTCTGAGGTTGTCTTCCCTGTGACAAGGAAGATTAAATGGAGTGGGTGGGAAAGGAGCCACTGAGCCAGAAATGTACTTGAGGAACAGTTGGCCAAAATCTTAACAGACATGATGGAATTTCAAATACTGCCCATGTTGAGTGGAAGTGAGAAATGCAGATAAAGATGATTTGAGCGCAAAGACCCGAATTCAATCCCCGGTACCCAAAAAAAAAAAAAAGATTTGCCTGAGACCAACTTATTAGGAAATTGAGGGGAGAAGAATTACTATAGCAGGAGGGATCTCTGTCATACTCCTTCATATAAAATACCAAGACTTTCTCTCAATTTAGTAAATACTTGCTGAGCTTCTGCTGTATGCACAATAATAATAACTAGCTGGTCATGGTGGCGCAAACCTGTAATCCCAGCACTCAGGAAGCTGAAAGTACTAGGATGGAGGTGAGTTTGAGACCAGCCTGGGCTACTTAGTAAGTTTAAGACCCGCCTGAACTACATAGTGAGACTCCGTCTCAAAACAAACAAATAAAGCAACAGCTAACTTTTTTGCGGGGGGGTACCGGGGATCTAACTTGGGACCCTGGGACCTTGCATTTGTGAGGCAGGCAGCTAAACCCCCAGCCCTTTGATAACTAACTTGAGAGAGCTAGGTGTATTTCCTGGACCTGTTACCACACGTTGGTGGCATCAGCCCTAGAGAGAGTAGCTTAAAATGGAAGTTGGGCGGGAATGTGTCCCATTTTGGCTGTAGAGAATAAATAGATCATGGGTAGGAAACCAACATCTCATCCTGAACTCCTTATAGAATGCCAAGTGCAAAGGAGTACTCAAGAAATGAAGGCAGGTATCTTAAGAGACCTTCTTTGCATACCCCTGACTCAACTGTGAAGGTTTCCTCTGTTGCAGGCATCAGAAGTTGAGAGACAACTCTCCATGCAGGTCCATGCCCTCAGAGAAGATTTTCGGGAGAAAAACTCATCAACCAACCAGCACATCATCCGTCTCGAGAGTCTTCAGGCTGAGGTGAGCCTGCCTGCGTGGCAGCACTTGGAGGGGAAGCACTTTTTTTTTTTTTCTTGGATGCACTACTCTGCATCATTGGATAAGGAGCTCTGTGAACCAGGAAATGAGAATCTGCTGTATATAAAAGGGACTAAAATTGCCAAAGAGAGATATTGCTGTGAGAAACTAAATGAGGAACACTTGATTCTTATTTCTCTGGGTAGTCTGTTGTCTGGAAAAATAAAAAATCTCAAAGTTACTCCTGAAGGTGTTAAAATCATGAATGACCTCCATTTTACTGAATATGTTAATCTCTGTAAAAATATGCTTGCCAACCCTACATAAAAGTTCGGGAAAGGCATCTTCCTTTCTACATTCTTCTGTCTCCTTCCTCTTAGGTCCAATTCAGTAAGCACTAGTAGGATATGTTATTCTCACCTCTAAAATAAGACCAACTTAGCGCAGTGGTTCCACCTCCTGCCTCGCAAATGCAAAATCCTGAGTTCAATCCCCGGTACCAAACAAACAAACAAATAAAATAAGACCAGTAGACATTTCACTTCATGGGGCTTCTGTGAAGATTTGGTGGGTTATGACGTGGAAGGTACTTGGTATGATCCTTGCATCATGAGTGCAGAACATGGCAGCCAGGGTCTGTGGCCCTGAGTGAGCTGGGAAACAGCATCCAGTCTTGGGGGAAGTGGGACAAAGAACATATCATCAGCTGAACCAGGCTGAGGGCTTACACCTAATATTCCAAGGGCCCCTCGTCCCCTTGGCTAAGTCAGATTTTGAGGGACAGTCTAGGGACAGAAGAGCCCCTCACTGTGGCTGAGGAATTAGTCATGTGATCAGGCTTGAGAAACCTCAGCTGCTTTCCTGCTTTGTAAGTCACTGAGGATGTTTTTCCTAAAGTCTGTCAATATCTTCTCTTTTCTTCTGCCTCCGCATTTCCTTCCATCCTCTTTTCCCTTGGAATTCCTGCTGCTGTTGAGCAGCAGGTTCTTGAAGTAAGTAAAATTTGTTCCGGTAGGTTTGGCATGCCTGTCTTTGACCATTTGTGTGCATGACTTGTCTTTCCTCTACCTGTTCATTTTTCTAGACCCTCATGAACAAGTTATTCCCGGGAATGTTTGTTGCCAGATTTGGTCACAAGTTTCAGGGTATAGAGGTGGAGTGAGAGTTGATAGCCTAATACCAGTTCCTCACTTTACCCAGGAATAGTGCTGCTTTCAAAGGCCAAGCTCTGAAATTGCTCCTTTCAAATAAATTACTTCATGTAACTCTGAACTTCTAAGTTTGTTAAGGGTCATTTGTATATCATAATCATGTTACCTCACTACTTTACCGAGTGAAACTTGGGAAACAAAGATGATCCATGGGAAAGAGAATTTAAAAGTCAGAGGTTATTTAAATGAAAATGAACTATAGTGAGAATTCCCTTCACCTGGTTAACTCTGGTTAATTCACAAAGGGAGCTTGCTGAGTTTGGTCTCTTACCCAGGTGCACACTTGAGAGATTTCTTTGTTTATCCAGACATGTGATCTCTCTGGCCAAAGGCCACATACCTCATTTCCCCAGGACAGCATCCTATCTGATGAATCAGTAGCCAAGGAAGATCTGTGCCCTCTGGAGTGGAGTTCTAGTGCAGAGTGGGAACGACCAAGAAGCAGAAAGAGGTGGCTCTCAGAGGACCTAGAACAGGCTATTCATTTCAGAGTCTCCCCTGGACAAACTCTGAAGTTGATCCCCAGAACTTATCCAAATAAAAACCTTGGGCATCATTCTCCAGGCTGGACTAGAGACCAGCCATGCAGTGGGATAAGGAATCAGTCCAGCAGGGAACTGATAAATGGAGCTAGGGAACCTGCAGGGCCCCAAAAGTTACCCCCAAATCCAGTACCTTTGGGAAGGCTATCTATAGCCCCTGTGCAAGGCAGTGCTGTAGGTGAAGCATTTCTGGCTTTGGGAGCACTGGCTCAGTTTCTTCCTGCAAACGTGACAGCCTGAGAAAACTATGCATCTTCTCCATTTTCTGACACCAGAGAGAGCAGGCAGACTTTCCAACAAGGAGATGCGTATATCTTGAGAATGGCTAGGGTACTCAGTGTGCAAACAGATCAACCTTTTTAATAAAAGGAGAGAATTCACAAATCTGCTCAAGAAAAGTTGCTCGCTCACTCTCTCTCCCACCTTCCCTCTCTCCCTCCCTCCCTCTCTCTCTCACCTTCCCTCTCTCTCTCTCACCTTCCCCCTCTCCCTCCCTCTCTCTCTCTTCCTTCCCTCTCTCCCTCCCTCCCTCTCTCTCTCACCTTCCCTCTCTCTCTCTCACCTTCCCTCTCTCCCTCCCTCCCTCTCTCTCTCCTTCCTACCTGCTACACCCTGAGCAATTCTCTGCCCTGCTGCCCTGAAACCTTCACAAAATAAACCTTTCCTCCTTTACAAAACAAAAAAAAAGTTGCTCTGAGTAAAGTGAGTTGTTCCCATAGTCCCTGGCCTGCTCCTTCCCAGGGTACACGTTGATACAGGTACTGCTTTGCCTTCTGTACCCTGCTAATTCCTCCATTACCTTGGAGCCCTGGGTGTGAGCTGTACCTGTACCCTTTAGCACCAGAAGGGCCAGCCGTGGGAGGAGGACAGAAGAGGGCCTGAAAGCACAAAAATACAAGGCTCCAGAGGACTGCATGGGCACTTTCTCACGCTCATAACTGGGGAAAAAAGAGTAGCAAGCCAACACCACCTCCCTACCAACCCCCCCAAAAAACCTTGGGGCTGAGGTAACACTGAGGGCAGGCAAGGTGGGGCCGTCTCTGTCTTATCTCTGGAATTTCCAGAGCACTAACCATCCCTTCCTCTGCCTGGCAGTCCACATTCCAGCTTCCCCACAGCTGACTCCTACCTCTTCCCAGACAGCTTCCTAGAAGGGAGTGGTTTTCCCTTCAGCCCAAGATTGCACAGCTCCTCTCTCTGAGATGGGTAGCCCTAAGTCCCTGGGCACAATACTTAGAGATACGTGCCTCCCAATCAGGGACTAAGTGCTCTTCTTACGAGTCAGCTCAGGTGTAACTTCGCACCACCCCTGTGGCCTTTCAGATCAAGATGCTGTCGGATCGGAAACGGGAGCTGGAGCATCGTCTCAGTGCCACCTTAGAGGAAAATGACCTGCTGCAAGGCACTGTGGAAGAGCTGCAGGACCGAGTGCTGATTCTGGAGAGGCAAGGCCATGACAAAGACTTACAGGTACTAGACAGAGATGCTGTCCTGCAGGACTAAAGCCAGACAATAGGAGCACTTAGCCAGAAAGGGAAAGCCTCCACTGGGGTTGGTCAGGAATGGGTGATGCTCAGGTCTCACCATGGACCTGTTACGAATCTCCCAGGGATGTACTGATTTACCCATAGCCAGTGAAACATATCATTACCCACAAATTCCTCCCATGCATTCTGAGCCACTGGTCCTTGAAAAGTTCCACACGGTTTTTTTCTGGGCTATTAACATGGCTGGAACACTGGGGGGTGTCATTCTGGCCACCTGGCATTTATAAAAATCTGCTAGATTTTGGAGGGAACTTGGGGCTCTCTGTTCTCATCTCACAGCAGCACTCTCTGCTGCTGCTTTTCTAGGTGGAGGGGTTTAGTTGGCTGGCATAGAACAGAAACCAGGAAGCTCCCCACTGAACACAGCAAGACATATCCTGCTTTTACCAGTTGCCAGAAAAGACACGGTCTGAGCCCTTTTTCAGCTTAATTAGTCTTTTTGCCTCCATAAAGGAAATTGCTTCATAGTCATATTTGTCCTTTTTGGAACTGCCACCAGGCTTCAACTGAATTCCTAGGCTTACACTTAAGGAGAAACACACCCCCAAACAAAAAGATAATCACTCTCAGCCTTCCCAGAAATAGGGTGTAGCATCTGCTACCAGGGTGCTTTGCTGGGCTGACCTGGGACCAGACACTAAGGGTGTACTGGATCTCTTTCCGCATGGCAGGATGCACTGTACTCCCACAGTGTCATTTGGGTAGAGTTGTTGGCCATGTAACACTCAGGTACCACCATGTGGTTCCCTGGTCCAAGACTAGGCTACAGAGGGCACCACTAGGCTCCTAGGGAAGCCCTAGAGTGTGAGGTGAGGAAACAGTGTCTTAGGCTAATACCATTTGTCACCGACACCATCAGCTAATTTGCCAACTGAGTTGTGCCCCTCTGGGGGACAGCTAGCAGCTTTTCTCCCTCTGTTTTCCTTCTCCAGTTGATAATGTAGTAGGTCCTCGGCAAATGTTGAATAGAAAATGCAGCAGGGTGTAGCTCAGTAATAGAGCACTTGCCTATACATGAGGCCCAGGATTCAAACCTCAGCATCAAGGAAAAAAGTTTAGCCAGGCCTTGTGATATATCACTATAATCCAAGCACTCTGAGAGGCTGAGGCAAGAGGATTGCAAGTTCAAGCCCAGCCTGAGCCAATTAAGTGAGATCCTGTCTCAAGAGTTTGTTTTTTTTAAGGGCTGAGGATGTAACTTACTGCATAGGTTCTGAGTTCAATCTCCAGTCCTAAAAAAAAAAAAATAAAAGAAAGGGTTGGGGATTTAGCTCAGTGGTTCTCCCTGCCTCGAAAGTGCAAGGACCTGAGTTCAATCCCCAGTACCAAGAAAAAAGCAAGTGGTATTTGTATTGCCTAAAGCCCCACAGCAGTTTTCAAAATGGCGTTTGCTTGTTTTTCCAGATTGATGATAATAATAGTGAACATTGTATGCCTCTCTACAGGGGACAGAGTGCTTTCATATAGTTCCTAACATTGAGGCTTAGGGAAAATGAATCATTCCTGGTAGAATTGAGACTAGAACTCTCCCACTTGACTTACTTGCTGTCCACTTGTCCCTAGAAGTCAGTATTTAACAGCATTTGTTATCCCACAAAGCACTCCTGGGGGTTACTGAGATAGACGTGGAAAGGAAAGGGAAAAGAACTACAGAAAAATAGAAAAACAGCCCTTGCCAAAAAGAAACTTTCGGTCTAGCATGAATTCACAAATTGCAAAGGCTGTGCTTCAGATCTGTAATTGAGGACTTGGAGCTGATGGGAAGTAGCCAGGGCCAGTGTGGGCCACAGGGTACTAACAGGTACAGTGGGCTTGTGCTTACAGCTGCAAGAATCCTGTCAGACCCCACACAGTCCTCACTCTGCATGCCCGCTGTCTTCCAGCTGGCTGCAGGAGTGCAAGGGTGTGCCTCAGCTGAGTGCCTGTAGCCAGTCTGACAGTTCTCACAGCTCGGAAGATCTATACTTACGGGCTGAATTCTCATCTTTCTTAACTGTGATTCTGTTACTTTTGTTTACGCAAAAGAAACTAAGTTTCCAGTAGTTAACGGTGTCTTCCAAGAAGCCCTGCCATGTCTGTTAATGAAATGGCCTATACTGAAATTTTATTTAGAAATAAAAATTGTAGCTTTCTAAGGTAGCACGGAGAAGTCTTAAACCAGATTTGTGAAATACTGAGCCAGTGACCTTGAAATATATTTCTCTCTTCCTCCCTCCCTCCCTGTCTCTCTCTGTCTCTCTCTAATCTGTGTTACTATGAGACCTGCTGTCAAAGCATTTTAAACTACTGATCAAATCCAACTTGGACTTTTTTCAGGCCTCCAAATGAGGATTAAAAGTTATTTATTGACTAGTTTATATCAAGTATTTTACTGATTTAGTTCAGTGGTGCCACCACATGCCTTGCAAGCACTAGGTCCCTAGTTCAATCCCCTGTACCAAAAAAAAAAAAAAGATATTGATAGTATCCTGTGTGGGCCACTTCACTGTCCTGTTTCATACTTAGCTGGGCTTTTTTTTGTTTTGTTTTATAGAACTAGGGACTAAACTCAGGACCTTACATATACTACTAAGGCTATACCACTGAGGTACATCCTCAACCCTTTTTGAGACATTCTTGCTAAATTGCCCAGGATACAAGGAAAAAAAAAGTGAGAATAGAAGGAAATAAGGAAATAATGGAAACAAAGCTTTTGTACATAGGAAGGGGGGGAAAGGGGTATGAGGAGAAGAGGGAAATGGGATAAAATAAAATTTAGTTTAAAATAAATTGCCCAGGATTAACCTCAGACTTGGGATCCTCCTGCCTCAGCCTTCCATGTAGCTAGGATTATAGACGTGCAGCACACCCAGCCAAGCATCTTTCATGCGCAGTGGTCGGATTTCACTACCAGAGTACAGGCTCACTTACTGTGAGGCAATGACCTGAGGTGTAGTCTGCCCCAACACAAATGGCATACCACTAAGCAAATCACATACAGCTCTCAACTGTCAGATGAGATGAGCGCTCCTACTTTTGCTCAGCTATATATTGTGAATTTAAACATCATCTACTATACAGTCGAGTGCCGTCTCTCTTCATACATAGTATCATCTTTGTTGTACAAAGGGTGATATTTCTTGTAGAGAGTTTATAGAGTAAATGAACTTTTCCCTGGTTTGGTTTTTCTGCACATGTCATTCTGGGTGGTGAATCAGGCACTGACCGGGAAGTGAGGCCCCTCCTTATCATTTATTCTTTTGCTTTTATAATTAAGCACCTTTTGCCAGGTACCACAGCAGCAACAGAACTTGGCTGTTGTCTGGATATTATTCTTTTCTTTGTTTTTTTGTTTTTAATGGAATGTGCCGAATGTCTATAATTTTGTTCAGATGACTGCAGAACCTGGAAAAGCTGTTTCTGCTATCGATGCATAACATACTATTATTAGTCTTTGTATATATATACATATATATATATATGTATATATATACATATATGTGTGTGTGTGTGTGTGTGTGTGTATATATATATATATACACACACACACACACATATATATATGTATGTATGTATATCACCATACACACACATATATATATAAATTGAATTTTGGGCAACTTTAACGGTGCTGCCAACTTTGGAAAAAGTCATCCCAATTTACTGTGTTAACTTGGCATTGTACAGAAATGGACAACCATGTTGGTCTAGAAATGTTAATTTTTTTTTTTTCCATGTGTACAGGGGTAACACATCATACTAAATATGTAAGGTCATATCTGTGAGGGTTCGAGTACAGAAACTAATAAAGTATTCTCTAAATAATGAAAAAAGAATAAGATAAGACTATAAGAGCGAGAAGCAATTTAAATATGTTCAGGGACCATCTTCATCTCCAGAATTAAGGATTATTTTGATGTTACATCATTGCCTTTTCTCTTTTACTTTCCTTTTTAGTTTTATTTTAGGATTCCCTATTTTTAATGTTCATACAGAGATTTCTTTAACTGAAATAGCGAATAATTTCTTTGGTGTGAAAAACTATACTAGTACACAGGATCCTAATGAGACAATTAATAATGTGAAATAGGAAGTAAAGAGCTAAAGGTGTAAGGAAAGTGGGAAGGGTGGGGGAAAGGTAATAAGGGAGAGGAAAAAAAGTATGAGAAACTGAAAAAATGGAAATAAAGTGTTTGTAAATGGGGAGGGGAGGAGGGGGTGAATGGAGGGCAGGGACAAGGGGAAAAATGAGAATCAAGACCTATTATGTAAAGGTACAGAATCCCAATGATGAATGTAACTGTATTTGTATACCTAGATTGCACCAATAACCTCAATAAAAAGAAAAAAAATAATAATAATAATAATTAAGCACCTTTGAGTGTGCATGAGTAATTGAACTAATTTTGTCTAGTACATAACGTATCAGTGTGCAATTTCTCCTGCTGAGATATATATATTGAGTTGTCAAGAAAATAATTGTAAAGCATTTTGCCACTTTAATGTGCCACTTGTAATTGTGCCAAATGCTTCCTAGGAGTGCCTCCACCCTGTAACCCTAATTTTTTTTTTTTTTTTTGACTTTACTCAGAACTGGGGCTGGAGAAATTCCCACTGGACCACAGGTATTGCTGACCAAGGGGAGGCACCCAGAGCAGGCTTGCCAGTGCCATTTTTGTTCACTGAGCAGCCAGGCTCCAAACCCTTGTGAGTCATAGCTCTTTTGGGCCTTTACTGCCATTTTTTAACTGTTTCCTGGCACTGACAGTGAAGATGAGGCTCCCAGAGCATATTTAGGATTAGCCGAAGACTTTGCAGAGCAATCTGCTTTCTCCATCAGAACTAGAGCTCAGAGTTGCTGCCAGCCACCCTGTGGTCTCTGCATCGCTGCAGGAACCAGAGCTAACTCTCTCTCTCTTTTTTTATATATACCAGGGACTGAACTGAGGACCTTATGTTTGTGAGGCAGGTGGCAGAACCACTGAGCTAAATCCCTGGCCCAATCCCCTCTCTCTTTAATGGAACAAATATTACCCAAGAAATGCTTTTTTATTTGAAGGGGAAAAAAAAAAAACCTCTACACACACTTGGTACTGGGGATTGAACCTAGAGGTGCTGTCACTGAGCCATATGCCTAGGCCGGTAATAGCGAGCCTTTTAGAGCTTTCTGAGGCATGCATGCCATAGGTCCGCCACCACTGGCCTACCCCTTTATTTTTAAGACAGGCTTTTGCTCAACATGTTATATATGAAATTCAGTAATGTTGTGAGTAGTAACATCACGTAATAACAGCATAGTCTTTTTATTGCTGCATAGTATTCAAACATAGGGATGTGCCATGATTTGTGATTTTTATTATTATTTGGATTCTTTCCCATTTGTGGCTATAATGAATATCCTGTGTGTGTCTTTTGTTTTCATTTCACTTGAGGGGCAAGGGAAATTGTGCACTGAAGAATGAATTGCTGGATCACAGGATAGGTTTGTGTTTAACTACTAGAAGCCACCACATACTTTTCCAAAATGTTTGCACATTTTCCACTCTCACCAGCAGTGAGGGTTCTTATTATTCCATATCTTCATCAACACTTGATATTATCATTTAAAATGTTTTCTTTATCTTAGCCATAATGGTATCTTAATTGAGAAGGGGGTGCTAATTTTTCATTATGGAGGATTTCACATAGACCTGCCCTTCGGGAACATTCATTTCCTTTCTTCTATTGAAAGTATATCTCAGAATTTTAGTAAGTTCATCTGTAAATTAAATATCTTTAGGGAACACTTGTTCTATTTTATGGAATGAAGTGTTGCCTGATTCTAAAATTGAGAATAAAACCAATGAAGGCCTTTAAACTAAATAGTTGTAATTTTGTCCTTTGATAGTACTATTCACTGTTTTCATTTTTGAAAAGCAATCATAAAAGCAACATTGAAAAATATTATGTTACATGTAATAAATTTTTTAAGTTTCTCTAGAAAAAAATTGTTTTAATGTAACCATAATTCTATTACACCTAAAAAATTAACAGTATGTCTTTAACATCATCAAAAACTCAGTGTTAAAATTTTCAGTCATCTTTTATCATGGATTTAAAAAATATTTTTGTTTGACTCAGGATACAAAGTAAGGGGCCAGGGATTTAGCCCAGTGGCACTGTGCCTCCATCTCACAAGGTCCTAAATTCAATCCCTGGTACAAAAAAAAAAAAAAAAAAAAAAAAAAAAATTGAAACAAAGATACAAAGTAAAATAGATTTACACATTGTAATTGGTTGATAGGCTTCTTGAGTCTCTTTTAATCTCTAGGCTCCACCTTTACCCTTTTTTCTTGAAATTTATTTAAGAAATGGAGTTGTACATCTTGAACTTCCCAGATCTGGGTTTTGCTGACTGTATCCCCTATTGCAGTCTGACATGTTCCTCCCCCTCTGCTTTTTGTAAGTGCAGGTATAGAAGCAAGTTAAGTTCTGGGCACTGCTGGCTGGTTTGGCTTGGGTGAACCTCACTAGCATTTGTTCTCTCTCCTTGAAGCTGCACCAGAGCCAGCTAGAGCTCCAGGAGGTGCGGCTCTCCTTCCGGCAGCTGCAGATGAAGGTGGACGAGCTCACTGAGGAGAGGAGTCTACAGAGCTCTGCCGCCACCAGCACGTCCCTCCTGTCAGAGATAGAGCAGAGCATGGAGGCTGAGGAGCTGGAGCAAGAGAGAGAGCAGGTGCTGACATCCCTGTCATCTGGCAGGGGAAGTGGCCTCACAGTGCCTGGGCCCATTGTCCACCCTGGCACTCCATTGCTTCCTGGTGAAGGTCGTGGCTCTATATCTGCCTGAGTCCCTCAGCCTGCTGACTGGAATGATACAAGGCAGACCCTGATCAAAGCTGTCGTTAGCCCTCCAGCCCTGCTCTTCATCTGAACAGAGCACCCAGAAGACAGTGACAGGCACAGAGCTTCATCCTCCCCACTCATGCCCCATGCCTCTGGGACATGTTTGTTGACTACCAGTCAGCTTCATTCCTTGTGCTTTCTTTCAGAGTTTGGAACATTTATGACTCATTTTTACCATTTAATTGGCTTTGTTTTATGCTTTTCATACTTCTCATATCTATATATTCCCCTAATAATTCTCTGACTTTAATGAAAGAAACATTCTGTAGTAAAGAAACACTTTAGAAGGAGCTGGAGGGCAACCCACTTGGGACCCCTTCTGTCTCTCAGCAGCTATTCCTATTTCCTACTTCCTGGCTTCCAGTTTTGTGTGCCTCATTCCTTTGAGCACTGGCCACTCCCCTCTTGAGTGTATCATTTCTCTCAATAAATCTTTCCCATTTCTTTTTAAGGGGCTAGAGAGCAGGGAGAATAAGAATTGAGAGTCCAGATAGATGTACAGATGTACTGGGCCCAAAATAAGTAGCATTATTTCTCCTAGAACTGGTATCTTAGGTCTCTGTATTTTGCGCTAGATACTAGACAAAGATCGCCACGTCTTCCATAAAATCCATAACCTAGAATAATTCTTTGTGACACAGCTGAGACTGCAGCTCTGGGAAGCCTACTGCCAGGTCCGCTATCTCTGCTCACACCTTCGAGGAAATGACAGTGCCGACTCAGCAGTGTCCACAGACTCCTCTATGGACGAATCTTCAGAAACCTCATCCGCCAAGGATGTGCCAGCCGGTAGCTTGCGCACTGCTCTCAATGAGCTCAAGAGACTGATACAGAGCATTGTGGATGGTATGGAGCCCATGGTAAGAGGCCACTTAGAGAAGGGCCTGACCCCACCAGACCTGGCTAGTAGGAGGTTGAAACCTAGTGCAGTGGGGGAGGTTAACCTCAAACTGGAGCCTTATCATGTATCTGCCAGAATTCCTCCTGAGTTCTCATTTATATTTGAGAACACCGAACACCAGTGATTGATCAGGTAGAGGGTCCCAGTGCCAGGAATGCTGGTTCCAAGGTCACCTTCCTGCAGACACCAAGGCACAAACACAGTCCTTTTCTCTATAATTATGAATGGACACTGGTAACCTCAAGTTCAAGGACTTTTCCTTAGAAACTAAGTAGAGAAATAGGTGTCTGGCAAAACACTGCAGATCACATTCTGTAGCCTTTTTCTTCCTAGTGGAGGGGTAAGCTATGAATAGGCAAACTTAAAAGACCTAAATTCTGCCTAAAGAATAGAAGTGATTACAGGAAGTTGAGGGAAGACCAAGGGAAAGGGCCTCTTGGAATTCCAGCTGTGGCATTTGGGGAAGAAGGATGTTCCTGTAGTACCCTGGGCAGACTGGAATTTCTTCCAGTTTCATGACAGATTTCTCCCTGACTTACTTTCCATTCACATACCCAGTTATCCTGGGCTGGGGATTTAGCTCAGTGGCACCACACCTGCCTCGCGAGCACAAGATCCTTAGTTTGGTCCTTGGTACCAGGAAGGAAAAAAAAAAACATTGACAGCTTCACATACCCAGTTCCCAGACAGTAATTTCTTTCTAAGTTTCATTCTCCTCCAGAATAGTTGTCTCTCTCTCTGTCTGTATTGAATGAAATAAGTTGAAGTGTGGTTGTTTCTTTTTCTGTTTGTTTTGTTTCATTTTTTGAGACAGGGCCTCACTATGTAGTTCAGACTGCCCTGGAAAAGTGTGGTTTCTGTCTGTTCTGTGTTGGTTTGGGGAACGTGCTACAGTGCAAAGGTTGGGTCACGGGGGGAGAGGGGAGCTATCCAGGGCCATGTGCCCAAGGCTGAAATGACCACAAAATAAACTTCAAGCTATCCTTTGGAGGATGAAATTGAGCTTGAGAATCTCTACCCACTACCCTTTCTCCTCCCTTTGTCTCATTTCTTCCTCCTTTGCTCTCTTCCTTTTTTTTTCTTCATCTCTCCTTTTGTCCTCCCCTCCCCTGCCATCTCTCCCTTCTCCTTCCCTGTCACCTTCCTACCCCACCCTCACTGACCACCTCTCACTCCTGCCTATCCGTGCGCTCTCCATGTCTGACTGACTCCTCTTTTTGCTGTCAGAGCTCCCGGAGAATTGAGGATGACTCCTTAGAAGAACAGATAAGGCAGACCAGTGAGGACTCAAGAGCCCTGAGGGAGCTCATGGAGGGAGAGAGGGGTAAACTGAGGCAAAGCCTAGAAGAGCTGCAGCGACTCCACAGCCAGGTGAGCACGCCCATCTTCAGCCCAGTGCAGGGAATGTACGTGTGTGGCTTTACTCAACTTACATGTGAGACATGGCTCTGCATCAAGTCCTCCGGGGACTGTGGTCCAAAGTTCAGAGGTCCTGGGTGTCTCCAAGTGAAGATACCCTCATTTATTCCAGAGGAAGATTGGCAAGGACACAGATCATCCAGTGACATGCTGCAGAGCCAAAAGTTAGCTGGCTGGTAGATACTGACAACTGAAAGCCACAGCTTTCAGGCTACTTCTAGATATATTTCCAACAGCTCCTGGGCAAGGAAGTTGGCAAAGCACAGAAGAATTATCTTTACAGGGCCATTCCCTCTTTGTAAGCACTGTCGCCTCTGTGAGCCTGCTTTTCAGCTTTAGAGAACTGAACTGCTAACCTCAGGGTCCTTTCATGTTTGATCATGATTGCCATCTCTCTTGTGATCACTGGAGAAGTCAGATGTATTCTGATCTGAAAAATTTTTAAAGACTTAGGAGCAACCAGGGGTGATGGCACACACCTTTAATTCCAGCACTTGGGAGGCCGAGGAAGGAATTGTACAAGTTCAAGGCCAACCTGGGCTCTACCTTGTGAGTTCAAGGCCAGCCTGAAGTGCATAGCATGTCTCTTAAAAAAAAGACTTAGGAGTAGACCCACCCAGAAAGGAGCTTCTAAAGTCTGTACTAGGAGTTGCATAGAGGCTCTTCTTTTTTACTACACTATGTTTAGGTTTCTGTCCTTGGTGATGGCAGCTGGAAGAACACCAGAAAGCAAGTGGAGTCTGGCTTTTGCTTCAGTCAGTATCTTACACTTATGATACCTTTATAAGAATAAACTCTTTTTTTTTTTTTTTTTTTTTTTAAGTCTTCCCAGTAGTCTTCCTAATGCAGTTCTCTTGTACGATATTGGGATGCTCACCTACAGCCTTCACTGTACTCTCTGGTGAGGGATCAGGGAACAAGGATGAAAAGTTATTCAGAGATATGGCTTGCTCCTGGCCAAACCCTAGAGAGTAGCCAAAGACATTCTCTTGCCTAAACTCCAAAATCCTCAAGTGTTTATTGGCCAGGGAGAGCAATTCACATTTAGGAATAGACCTTCCAAACTAGAGAAATAAAATTTAAGGAAAACTGGATCTAGAAGTTCTTTGTATTAATTAAAATTTTACTTATTTTTAAAGTTTTTATTGTCATTTTGTTTTGAGATGACATATAGCTGTGTTACCCAGGCTTACTCTGAACTTCTGGGCTCAAGCGATTCTCCTGCTTCAGCCTCCTGAACAGCTAGGACTACATATATGCATCACCACACCCTGCTTTTTTCTTTTTTTAAATTAGCACCTGTTTACCAGCTCTTTAATACCGACTGGGTTTTCATTGGCGGGGGGGTCCCCAATTTATAAAACTAGAAATTCACCCAAATATATTCATTCATTGAGGATCACAAGCACAGTGCTGGTTGTTACAAGACTGATATGGAACTATTTATGATGCCATCTCTCCAGAGAACTTTCCTTAGAAGTGAGGCTGATAACTGGTTTAGGCGGATTCCTGTGGACTCCTTCCAGATGTCCAGTGTAGAGTGTAGAACGGAGCTTCTCCCATGACTCATCCAGAATGCTCGAAGCCGAAAGCCTCTCTGCCACTGCAGCCCCCAGAACTGCCCTGTGGAAGTCACCCAGACAACCCAGGGTAGCAGTCAGGGTGCAGATTGGAGTCAGCCCAGTAGGCTGGCATTCCTCGTGCAGGCTGGTAAGGCATCTGCTGTGCACCCCGTGTGCGAGGGGCACCTGATGTTATCTCATTTGATCCTCACAACCCCCATGGCAAGGATTTTTGGGGACGTATGTATGGCTCAGAGAACATAAAGTCTCTTTTCCCTTTAGTGGCTGGTGAGCTATAGTTTACTCAAGTTTTAAGTCCTTCTGCAGTTCCATCTGGATCGTGTTAAATGTTGGACTTTGCTGCTCAGTATGTGGCTTTATCTGTCTCTTACTCAGCGTTAGAGACACTGGCCAGACGCATGTCAGGGCTCATTTGGTCTGAGGAGTTCTGGCTCTGCCACACTCTTATCTTGGGTTCTGATGCAGAACCTGCTGATGATAGGTGTGGTTGGGCGCCTCATCTGCCTCAGAGCTGGATGTATGTACATGCCATGGCTTCTGCAGGTGTTGGCCTGTGCTTCCCCAAGGCTTCAAACCTTATTCGATTGACCTGGTCCCACGGGGCAGCTGCGGCTTTGGGCTGTCCTCAGTGCGAAGCAATAGGCCTCAACATTCCTTCTCAGATTCCTAAGAGCACAAAATCCATTACCCATCATGCCAGTGAATTGTCTTCTGTATTTCTTTGTTGTCGGGTGTCCTCTGAGCTACTTCAGAGTGGTTGCTCCCTGGCTGGCAGCTCTGCTCTCAGACTAGAGAGCTTGATCTTCAGCCTTAGGCCTGCGGCCTCTGCTCATTTTCATTCTTTCTGAAGACGATAAGACCTGGGCATTGAGGGCGTGACATTAGTCCCCTTGGGGAAGGGAAGCCGACCTGTGTGGGTGGATCTTCCCTTAGAAAAATGTCAGAGTGTAATATTTAACAAGAGGGCAGGATCCGGCCTCCCAATTCATGCCTGATTCTATCAATCTAGAAAAAAGGAATTCCCACCTTTCCATTGCTTAACACATACTTACTGAAAGCTCTACCCAGGCAACACTTCTGACTGCAAACAGTAGAAATCTGCTCTGTGTAATTTAAATAGAAAGTGAATGTATTAGAATTAAATGTTTGCATGCAGAATGAACCTGAAGGAAGGTAGGAAAACTCAGCTCCCAAACAGAAAAGATCCAGGAGAAGGGGACAGCAGAACCAGCATGCGGCCTGGTGAATCGTCCCCACTGGCCTGTGGCTTTGCCGTACTCCTTCAAGAGCTGCAGTCCCAGGGCAGAGGGTAGAAGTGACTGCCAGTGTAGGTCACATAGCCATACCCAGGCTGCGAAGGCAAAGGAATGCCTGCCTCCCTTTGGCTTCCTTAATAGGAGGCCATGCCCTGTCTCCACCACTACTCGTGCAACCATGAAAGCCCCCCTAAATCAGACTAGGCTTGGGTGGTAAGTATCCAAAAACTAGCAAAATCAGTTTTGTGAGTAAGCACTATACACAGTCAGGTTCTGTTATGCACAGATGGATACAACATACTTCTTACTGCACTGGCAGTCATTATGTACACAGTGACTGCACTGTGAGGTGGGGGGTGAACTGTGGACAGTGATGGAACCCTAGAGGCACACTTCATTGGATTTGTCTGATGCATTCACTTTCTTCTTAAATTACACAGAGCAAATTTCTACTGCTTGCAACCAGAAATGTCGCCTGGGTAGAGCTTTCAGTAAATACATGTTAAGCAGTGGAAGGGTGGAAGTCCTTTCTGTCTAGGTTGATACCATCAGGCATGACTCCCAGGTCAGCATCAGGACTGAGTAGGCCATGGTACCACTTACTGAGGCATGGACCACAGAAAAGGTGACAGATTTTGCAATGAGAGGTAATAACATCATTTAGGTGTATAAGTCCGTGTGGTTTTGATTTGGGGAGCCAATGAGAAAAAAATGAAAGAAAACTAGGCTGCACTATATAGTGTTGGAGATGCAAGCCAGGTCCCTGGCTTTGGAGCCATCTAAGGACCTGCTGATAGCAATGTTCCATCTAGAAGACAGCTGAGAAAAAACATGAAGCTCTACCCAAAAACAAATTACTTCAGAGCCCTGAGGCATTAATGATCTCCTTTGAAAAAAAAATAATCTCCTTCAGTCGTCTGCCTGGGTGTACAGCCTCATGAAAGAGGTGGCATGATGTGCCACGTGATGAGTACAGAGGGCACCCAGCCTGTGGCAGCAGGTCAAACGCTGAAGCTCTCTCAGATCCATTGCCCCTGAGCTGTAGCCTAGGACATGGCATCCTTCCTCAGGAGAGGAGGGCCCTCCACAGATCAGGACAGCAGTCGGGGGCTACCTGCCCACTCCCACAAGCACTCAGGGTTGTTGGGTTTCTTCTCACCTCTGGGAGAAGAAAATTGCCTAGGTCCGGAGCAATGGTATCGCCACATTCGTTCATTGGTCTCCCATTAGGTGACCCTGCTGAGTGTGGAGATGACTGCACTGAAAGAGGAGAGGGATCGACTTAGAGTGACATCGGAGGACAAAGAGCCAAGGGAGCAGCTTCAGAAGGCCATCAGGGACCGAGATGAAGCCATCGCAAAGTGAGTGTACCTGGCCTTTTTGTTTTTTTTTTTTTT